ATATAGATCTGGTCTTCGTTTTTTGATGTGTTCAACTGTTGGAAGTTCTTCAATTAATAACTTAATTTTTGAAATTTTCTTGTTTGAAATAATAATCATTATATCTATTAGTAGTTTCTATAATATTTTCTGTGTAACAACTCTTTCTGGATTGGAACGTTTAACCATCTGAGCTATACTGAATAAGATCAATAATGATTTGGCAGTGGTGTAACAACTTTTTCCAGATAAGATGGTCGCGTAACAACAATTCTTTTCTAATAATATTTCCTGTTTAACAGTTGTAGCAACTTTTCCAGGTTATTTTTGATCACAATCTTTTCTAAAGCTAATTAATATTAATTAATTAATTTGTGTGTATCCTATTATGTAAAACATATTGTAAAAAAAGCAAAGATATAATGTTTATACTTCTGGCTGAAATTGCAATTAAAACAACGCTTCTATTCGTAACATAATTTCTTGTTCAATCTTAAACTAATGGTTTGAATAAAATTTATTTGTTTCATTTGTTCATTTGTTCAATAATTGAATACTCGAATTAATTACGAATAGTTTAAATAATTCTTATTCGAATAGAACCCTTTGTTAAAATCATAAGATATCAAGTTACACGAATATGTAAAACTTTTCTATACATACAACATACATGTACATTCTCAAGAGTAAAAATTTTTTTTTCAATGTTCTTAAAAAAAAAAAAAAAAAAGTACATAAATATGTTCCTTGACATTTGTTCATAACGTAAAATAAAAAAAAAAATTATTTTATAGTACCAAAGTATAGTCCATATTTTATACAAAGTCGTCTATTAGTAAAATTTGACCGACCTTATTTAGAATAGATAGATCGTCAATTAATTACTTCGGACCCTGAAATATTTGGTAGTACAAATTTTGGGTGTGCCCATATGTTAAATGGCAGGTAGACTTGCAATTAAATATAATTTTGGAAGTTATACGACTATACAATAAAGTTCAAGTTTTTTGATTTTTTCTTTTTTTAGTATTAGGTCTTTTATATATATAATTTCATAACGCAGATCACTAGAATATTTGGAAATTCTGAAATTCTTGGGCTAGTGGGCTGAAGTTACATATTACTTAATTTGAAAATACTATTTACTATACACATGAACTTTATTATATTGTATAATAAATTTAATGTCGTACACAAAGGCAAGGCCTTTTCTTTAGAGAAAATCCATCTTTTTTAATTGTTCACTAATAAGGTAATTTCGTTTCAAAATAAAACGATGGTTTTTTTGCTCAATTTTGAATTTCAGATTTTATCTCAAAAAAAAATTATTTTCATATTTCTATCCCCTTTTTTTATATATTAATAGTAATATAAATTGGTTTTTTTTTTTTACGTATTTATTTATTTTCGAATAAGATATTTTTTTTTTTTTTAAAAAAAAAACTCTTTCCAACCAACCAAAACCAACCAACCAACCAATTAATATATTTATTAAAAGAAGAAAATTTGAATTGGGTGAAAAAGTGGAGGAAAAAACAAAAATGCCTCGAGGGAAAAAAAAAACAACTCGTAAAAATGTTACAACTGCTTGCCTAAAGTGTAAAGTCAGTAAAATCAAGTGCACCGGAAGCTTTCCCTGCGGAAATTGTACAAGGAAAGTTATGAATGGGTGTAAAGCTTGTAAACATAATATTAAAGATGCAGATATATCCAATCTCGGAGCTTGTGGCCAATGTATAATTGATGCAAGTAATTTCTTTTGTGAATTCCCACAAGAAAAAGCCAGACGTGGACCACCGCCAAGACGAACGAATCAAAGGGCAATTAATAATATCACTATCAATAAAAGTGATAATAATGGCAATAGCAGCAGTAGTAACAACAACAAGAACAATATTATCATTAATAATGATAACAATCTTCTTGTTTCACCTTGCGACTCTATCATCTCCACTTTTTCACCAATCCCATCTCTTTCACCTTCCAACATACAATATTTTTACATTCCTTCACCACCACATACTCCTTCATTCAATCTCTTCTGCGAAGCAGTATTGTTTGATTATCCTAACAAGGAATCTTCAATGGTCCTTGATAATAATGACGACTCGTTGTTCCACGAGTTTTTTTTTGAAGAACCAATACCTGGTAAGTGGTGCCTTTGTTTGTTTAATTGAAAAACATGCCTTTACTCCTTTTTTATTAAACGTATTATATTATATTTCTTTTAAATAATGTCATGTTCAGATGGTTCGGATAACAAGCCGTTTAATAATAACGGTGATATTATTAACAATAATGATGGTGATGATGATAATAATAATGATAGTAATAATAATAATAATGATAAAGATGATAATAAACTGTCGCCATCATTATTATCAACGGTAACAATACCAACGGCAACAATACCAACGGCAACAATACCAGAAACAACATTGGTTATGACCGGAATTGGCAATAACCATTATAATTATAATTGTACTAGTAAGCAACTACATACCTCACAATATATTTATATCCTGCAGCCGCAAGACTTTGTTCCTTGCGAGCACCCTCCAAGCACAGAAATGGTAAGTTAATTAATTTCCAATATGTCCCCAAACTATTATTTTTTTATTATTATATACTAATTTTCAATCTTATTATCAGGACCCATTATTGGGTCACTCTCAAGCACCACCAAGTATTTTTGCCCAAGAGGGCACAGAAGAATCAGCACCACAGGCATCAGGCATCGCAACACGGAAAATGATATCATCCTCGAGTTATGAAAACTTCTTCAGATCGCCAGACTTTTTTTTGTAGTCCTGTAATGTAAGTTTATACTTTTTTAATGAATTTTGAATATCAGTGTATGATGATGATGATGATAACAATTTTCATTATTTCCATTTATTCGTAAAATAATAGATTACCAGGGACTACGTTGAATTATTTATTTTTTTTATTATTATTATATCATTATTATATCATGATTATTATTATCATCACCATTATTATTATTATTATTATTATTATTATTATTATCATAAAAATTCATTATCATTTAGGATATTTATTCAATTGCACTTTATTTTTCGTAAATGTAAAGATATTGTTTTTTATTAATATAACCAAGTGGCTAATTCCTTTCGAGGTTACAATTAAGCCAATAATAAAAAAGTAAAAATACAGACTATTTATATAAACGTCACATTTATATGTATGTCTTGATTAAGTTTCCAAACTGTATGGGTTTCTTGTAACAAATTTGGATAATTGCAAACGTTAATCGTGCTTGAATAGCATCACTAAATTTAATATTACAGACGTTTTTGTTACTATTATTATTTATCATCGTTAATATTTATTTTAAATTTAGACATTTCGGAATTGTAACTTATTCGCCAGGTATTAGGAAATCAAAGTCCAATATCTTTTGACACCTCTCGCTTACAAAATAAATGTTATTTATAGTCAGTCATCTTTATATTTCACGCGTACACACACATACAAAATAAAGATTAACATTACCTCCTTCATCCACTAATAACCCGATTATCCATCTTTTTCTTCAACGTAGAAATCAACTAAATCTTTAGTTTCCGACTTTAACAGAAAAAAAATATCATCTGACAAGCAGCTACTTATTACTCAATATAGCAGCTCTGTTTTTCGGATTCACGCAAATAGTTTGCCATGCCAAAAATTTGGAAAGTATTTTTGTATCAGTTCTTGATAAAGATTCTTTAACCAACTGTTCCAGAGTGAAATTGCTTTCGATCGGCTCTTTTTCGCGTAAACGTGTAATATTAAATTTTCGCTTTGTAAAAATTTTTCTGTTCGTGCAAACGTTTCTTTATACGTTATACAATCTATTTTGGTGATGGTGGTGATGTAGATGAGAATTCATTATTCATTGTTAAAAGTGTCAATTCTAATAAGAAAGTAATTTATAAAGAATAAATTGTCCGAGTTTGACCTTTTATGTTTTATGAATAATTTTCTTTAAAAAAATTTTATTTTTTTGATCATATTTTTTCTTTAATTTCAACATACATTCATTACCTTTCTCCCTGTTAAAAAAATGATTCCTAAAAAAAATATCATGGAATTCTCGTGTGATTTTGTGATTGATTAATTCTCAATGCAAAGGACACGACTTGTCCTAGAGCGAGAATAGTGTGAAGTCAGGAAGTTAGAAGGACCTGACAGCATTTTCTGACATAACTCTTTCAACTATTAAATATAATTAGAATTTAAAATATTAATTTGTTACAAATGAATGATTGATCTTTTTTTTTTTGCGAGCTCACTTTGCGTTCTCGATCGTAAAGCTGTTAATAAATCATTCGAATATTCGTTGCTTTTTCAGTAGATTTTTAGTCCTTTTGAATTATTTTCGATTTTTATGTAGGGTCTTTTTCATAAATATGATTTTTAATAGTATGAGTCAAGAATTCTAGATGTGAAAAACATTTACGTCTTTGTCCAAATGCCACAATTCAAATTAAAAGAAATTATTTTGGAGAACATTTTAATACTTCAAATACTAGTGTACAGATAAATTACAACACAATTGAAAATTTTATTGAAGAATCAAATAAAAATGAAAGCAGTTTTGATTTTTAATTCATTCGATATAATTAATGATTCATAAATAAAACCTTTAGATATAAAAAAGTGTAATAGCCAAATTATTTTTATTCAGTTTGTATTACACTACTATACACACTATACGTAAAGTATCGTATAGTATCGTATAGTGTTCAACTGTACGCCATTTGCCCATCTCTAAGTCGGGTACATTGTTTTTTATAAAGATTGATTATTTCTCCATATTGACTTTCATTTAAAGCCGACATTCGAGCTTAAAACTTTCGGAGAATTTGTTCAAACATAATGTTTATTTATTCAAGACGTGTATTATCATATATCATAAGATTATTATGTGCGTTTTCTCTGAACAATCCATTTCTTTTGAAGCGGGAAATATTTTGTCAAATTTCGGTTAAAGTTTATTAAATTATTAATTCAATAAAAATGTCAAATAAAATTTTGCATATATAATTTTGAGAACCCAAGCTATAAACAAAATTATTACGTGTAATCGTTGTTTTAAAAATGCACGCGTCTTTTGTCCGTATTGTGTATTTGGTTCGAACCTGTTTGTACGTAAACTCTAAGCGGATTTATTTTAAATCACAGTCCATTACTTTTTCTTTGTTAAGAATGGATGATGCAGAGTAAAGCATGAAACTTTCCTTTTGCCAAGAAATTTTATTCATGGTAATAATATTAAGATTAAGAATAATTCGAGTAAGAATTGTATTACGAATAGAAACCAACCATTACTGTCGCTTTCTTTGTTATACCTTTTTTTTTTTTGAGCAAATGTATTTTTTCTTTTGTCATACCAAGTAATGAAGATGAACCTATCTCAACCAAGTGTCTATGCCACTGAATTCTGCACTGAAATTCCAGGCGCAAAATAAATGTTAAGAGAGAAATTTTTTTATCATCTTAGTTGGTTCATATCACTATGGCGAATTAGAGTCAGTATATATAATTGGATGTTTAATCAAGTTACATATTTTATCACTAATCTATCGGAAAATAATATGTTGGATTCTATCAATAAAGAATCCTCATCAGTGATTTTATACCACAAATGGTGTTTCCACCAGCATCATTCGTTATGCACAAATGTGAGGAAAAAGGAAAACCTCCGATTCAAAGTATTTCTCTGCTTTGGTACAAAAATTAAAATTGTAAAATATTTATTATTTCAAAACATTGTTGTAAAGTTTTAAGAATAAAATAAAGATAAAAGATAAATAAATAAATAATTTATATGAATAAATTTATAATGGAGATTAAATTAATCATCCATTGATGTTTCAACATCTTTTCCCTTACTATTATTGTTATTATTACTAGAATCTAATTATTAATATTATTAATTTGTTAAACAAGAATAAAAAAGATTGTTAGCAATAAATAAATTAACAATTAATAATTTAAATTAATTTATTAATGAAATTTGTACTTATTTACCATTGTTAAGATCAATGTTTAAGAGAATAGAGTTAATATCAAGATTATTTAATGAACTGTTGTTACTTGTATAAGTGTACAGATAAATTACAACACAATTGAAAATTTTATTGAAGAATCAAATAAAAATGAAAGCAGTTTTGATTTTTAATTCATTCGATATAATTAATGATTCATAAATAAAACCTTTAGATATAAAAAAGTGTAATAGCCAAATTATTTTTATTCAGTTTGTATTACACTACTATACACACTATACGTAAAGTATCGTATAGTATCGTATAGTGTTCAACTGTACGCCATTTGCCCATCTCTAAGTCGGGTACATTGTTTTTTATAAAGATTGATTATTTCTCCATATTGACTTTCATTTAAAGCCGACATTCGAGCTTAAAACTTTCGGAGAATTTGTTCAAACATAATGTTTATTTATTCAAGACGTGTATTATCATATATCATAAGATTATTATGTGCGTTTTCTCTGAACAATCCATTTCTTTTGAAGCGGGAAATATTTTGTCAAATTTCGGTTAAAGTTTATTAAATTATTAATTCAATAAAAATGTCAAATAAAATTTTGCATATATAATTTTGAGAACCCAAGCTATAAACAAAATTATTACGTGTAATCGTTGTTTTAAAAATGCACGCGTCTTTTGTCCGTATTGTGTATTTGGTTCGAACCTGTTTGTACGTAAACTCTAAGCGGATTTATTTTAAATCACAGTCCATTACTTTTTCTTTGTTAAGAATGGATGATGCAGAGTAAAGCATGAAACTTTCCTTTTGCCAAGAAATTTTATTCATGGTAATAATATTAAGATTAAGAATAATTCGAGTAAGAATTGTATTACGAATAGAAACCAACCATTACTGTCGCTTTCTTTGTTATACCTTTTTTTTTTTTGAGCAAATGTATTTTTTCTTTTGTCATACCAAGTAATGAAGATGAACCTATCTCAACCAAGTGTCTATGCCACTGAATTCTGCACTGAAATTCCAGGCGCAAAATAAATGTTAAGAGAGAAATTTTTTTATCATCTTAGTTGGTTCATATCACTATGGCGAATTAGAGTCAGTATATATAATTGGATGTTTAATCAAGTTACATATTTTATCACTAATCTATCGGAAAATAATATGTTGGATTCTATCAATAAAGAATCCTCATCAGTGATTTTATACCACAAATGGTGTTTCCACCAGCATCATTCGTTATGCACAAATGTGAGGAAAAAGGAAAACCTCCGATTCAAAGTATTTCTCTGCTTTGGTACAAAAATTAAAATTGTAAAATATTTATTATTTCAAAACATTGTTGTAAAGTTTTAAGAATAAAATAAAGATAAAAGATAAATAAATAAATAATTTATATGAATAAATTTATAATGGAGATTAAATTAATCATCCATTGATGTTTCAACATCTTTTCCCTTACTATTATTGTTATTATTACTAGAATCTAATTATTAATATTATTCATTTGTTAAACAACAATAAAAAAGATGACATAAAAAAGAAAATTCCGAGAAAACTGGAAAGTTGGTGAATCGTGATTGAAGTAAATTGTAAAGATGGGTGCCGCAATTAAGGTGCTGCAACTCTCGATGTTGCAACGTTTAAAAAAATACTTAATGTCTGCAATGTCCGCAATTAACAATCTTTGCAATTGACCACAATAATTTATTAATAACAATTGGAAAAAAAGAAACATATATATTTTATATAAATTCTTTAATGGTTATAAACTGATAAATATATATGCGCACACTTTTTAGAATCAATAACTCATGTTAAAATAATTTATAAATATACCATCTATCCCCTGGGTAAACATATAAACCTTGGCGGCCCTTCCAGTAGGGAGGGGAGTTTACATGACCCAGGGAATTTAAATACATTACATAATTTCGGAATGGTCGTTTTAAACACAGGGTGTAATATCAAAACTACTATGTAAAGATAAAATCGGTAGGAAAGGTAATGATTTCGCTGAAGTCTTGTGGTTATGTTGTTTGTAAAATTGGCATATTCATATAAATACGGAATAACGAGGTTTATTATATAAATTCGTTATAACGAAATTTTTTATTTAATAGGGAAGATTTTGTTCGGTATAACAAAATCCGTTATAACAAGGTTTAACTGTATTGCGTACTACTATTACTATTACGCGTAGGTAAAAAATTCGAAAAAATATCAAGTTAACAATTTGATTTTTTCATCTTATAATAAAGAATAGTTTTAATTTGTAAAAAAGAAGAGGCATTTTTATTTTGAAAGAGAATATACGGGAAAAAAATTAATTAATTATAATAATATAATCAGTTTAATTAAATGAAATTTCTAATTCAGATTATAACATTTGTAAACTTCCCATGAATTACTCTCCTTGCATCATTGCAATATACATGCAACAATGACAATTCTTTATTTGCCCCCGGGCACGCATTTTTACATAATTTGGAACTTTTGATGATCCTATTTATCATTATCATTATTGCTGCTTGTATCAAGTGTTTTTACTTATGTCGGTGGTTTTACTTGCGTCAAGGTCTTTACTTTAGTCAAATAGTCAAGGGGATTTAGTTGTCACCAAAGGTGATCAATATGATGTAAGAGAAGATATTGATAATGACAACAATGTTATTGATGTCAATAATAATATAAAAGTGACACGTAGAGTAAGAAATCTTGGTAAGCCTGTTGACTTGGCACGTAGATATTTTGAAGAGGGTGCAGATGAAATCACCTTTTTAAATATAACATCATATAGAAATTTTCCATTATCAGATTTACCAATGTTGGAGATTTTACGTAAAACATCAGAAACAGTTTTTGTACCTTTAACAATTGGTGGTGGGATACGAGATTTTATTGATCCTGATGGAAAATTTCATTCAGCACTAGATGTAGCTGGTGAATACTTTAGGTCAGGTGCTGATAAAGTATCAATTGGTAGTGATGCTGTTTATGCTGTAGAAAAATACTTGAAGAATGGGTGTAGTTTGGATGGTAGTACAGCAATTGAATTGATATCAAAGGGTTATGGATCACAGGCAGTTGTGATTTCAGTTGATCCAAAAAAAGTTTATGTCAAGAGCCCAGAAGAAACTCCACATCATGTGATCAAAACAAAGTATCCAGGTCCAAATAAAGAAACATGGTGTTGGTATCAATGTACAGTGAAAGGTGGTAGGGAAACAAGAGATGTGGATGTTTATCAGTTAGTTACCATTTGTGAGATAATGGGAGCAGGAGAAATTTTGTTGAATTGTATTGATAAGGATGGTACAAACTCAGGTTATGATTTGGAATTGATAGAAGATGTTAAAAAAAGTGTAAAGATTCCTATTATTGCTTCAAGTGGAGCTGGTAATGAATCTCACTTCCTTGAAGTTTTTAAATGCACTGGTGTTGAGGCAGCACTTGCTGCAGGAATATTTCATCGTAAAGAGGTTCCTATTGAAAAAGTCAAGAAATTGTTAAAACATAATGATATCTTGATTAGGAATGTGGATAATGAATGAGCTGTAAATTGTAATTTATGATTTATTTAAAAAAATTAAATCTATATGTAACAATATTTCATATATCAGATAGTTGTATATAATATTTACAAATCAAGAATATGGGTCCCTTTTTTTCCTTTTTTTTTAGTAACAATTAGGTTTTTACTTTTGTTTTTTACCTTAGTTAATATGAAAATAAAAAAAAGTTCTCCATATTCTTGTTTAATGATAATTCAATTTATCTTTAATTTGAAGCTTATAAAATTGTTTCCTTCAAAAGTTATCAGGGTTTAAATCAGCAAAAATTACTTTATACATTTTTCAATTGGAAAAATTAATTACATGTCCGCCGAACGAATTAGGAAATTGATATAAC